CCAGGGGTTGGGGGGGTAATTCCTAGTCGTAGGCTAATGGGGATGTCCCGCTGGATGGGGTTGCATTTTCACGACTGGATTGACTGTAATGGGGGTGCATTTTCATCAGAGTTACCAGAATGGCCATGGGATGGTACGTACATTTTCGGGATTTGGGGGATAACAAAATTCAGGTAGGTACGGATTTAAAACTGGAAAGATGTTTACTTCATTGAGTTTAAACAATGAGTCATTCATTTCAGGGCTGACCTTGATAAAAGGCTTTATAAGATAGATGCATAAACAGAAAGAGACTAAGTTGGGATCAGGAAAATTACTTTTCCCAACAATAGACTATATTGAGAGGCCAGCAGCACACACCCTCCAAAAATTAGCCCAAGTAACCCCCCCGGGCTGTTTATATGTATTTGTAATGATAAATTCCCATACAACCCTTATAATTTGGCTTCAAGTAGGCTTTTGAAAGTCTGGACCCCCCGTGTTAATGCACAGGCCATCCATCCGATTTGTTCGAGGCATCATGATGTCACGCGCGATATGTGATCCCATACATTTTCTGTATTTTGTAACGCCCGCACTAGGCTTGATTCAAGTGATCGGTAGAAATGCTTCATAAAACACAGAATTTTGCACCTTTTGATCCCAAATGTTGATATGATGTAAGAAAAATGAATAAAGATAACTTACCGTATGTTTCTAGTGTCGTGTTCTGCATTTTTGTGGTGTTTTGAGTCGCTTGAAGCTGACACCCCTGACAAATTAAATTGCAGAACACGACACTAAAAACGTGCGGTAAGTGATCTTTATTCATTTTTCTTACATCATATCAACATTTGGGATCAAATTAAAAGGTGCAAAATTCTATATTTTACGAAGCATTCCTACCGATCTCTTGAATAAGTGCAGGCATTACAAAATACAGTAAATTTTTGGAATCACATATCGCTCGTGACATCATGATCCCTCAAACAGTTCGGATGGTCCGCCGGTGATTAATGCCGTACCTTAAATATTATAGGAAATTAACGCTCCATGAAATTAAGGTATTGGAAATTAACGCGACTTAAATTAATGCAAATTTAATGGAAAACAACTTTTGAATAAAGAAAATTAATGCGAAAGAGGAGGTAGAATTTCATAATAAAGGAAATTAACGCGAGTAAGAAACGGTTAGTGGTGACAACTGGACACAAATTTAGCAAATATTGTAAACCTTCCCCTTAGCTTTGGTGAAAGATGAAAAATAAAGGGTAAATGGAAAGAAAGAAATTAAAGCTCGTAGGTAAAGTTTTTCAGGTGTCAAGAATGTCTGGACAGGTTCCAAAATTGGGGTTAAAATACTGGAAATTAAGGGCGCGGAAATTAGCACTGCACTTAATTAACGTCGCGGAAATTAACGCTCAACAAAATTAACGAGACTTAAATTAACGCGAATTTTAACGATTCGTGTTAATTTCATGGAGCATTAATTTCCTATAATAAGGTAATCATATGTTTGTACGCACATCCACCTGCACGTAAGGCAATGTGAGATGTCACACTTTAATACTAGCCAGGAGTCCAAACGTCCTGTGCATAACATGACCACATTGTAGGATCAAATGTTCAAAACAAAATTTGAAGTTTTTTGTTAAAGTTTTCCACTGACCAATAATAAGTAGTTTCAAAAAATTAATCGCAGGCTCAGGTCCTATCATGATCAAATTTCTTTACAACAGTAGTTAATTCAAGTTTATTGTTTGAAGTACATTATTAGTGCTTAATTTAGAGCCTTACTTTTAGCCTTGGCTAAATATATTATCCCCCTTTCAAAGATCAATACAAACAGAAGAATTAGGCCCAGTCTTGATGCTAACTCAAATTCTTTATTTGTTTCATGAACAAACACTGTCCAGGCCCCATTTGTTCAAATATTTGGTAGCACTATATCCACTGCATAAATCACTATCCAGCAGATAGTAGATAGTGTTAGGGAAACCAGTCACATTATCCATCGAATAACTCAATAAATCCATACGAATCCATATGAGCGGATATATTAATCCCTAGAGATTTATCCAGTGGATAGAGTTATCCAGCTTCTGAACAACTTGGGCCAGTTCAATAGAAATTACTGGTAATTAGGCCTCAGTTGTTTGAAACGGTGGATAATGCTATGAATCTCTCCCCAGTGGATAATGCAAATTTTGCTACTGGTTTCCCTTCTATCAACCAGCTGGATAGTTGATTTATCCAGTGAATAGCACTATCCAATGTTTGAACATCCAGCCCTAGGGTTTTTTTCACCCACCTCTGCAGATAATAATTTTATTATTGTTCACAATACTGCACACTAGTACAAAATTATAGCCTGAGAAAACAGCTGACATTTGGACGACGCTACAACTGGTTTCCCCGTCAAATGATGTCTGAGAAAGGAGCACAGAAATTCCACACTGATGACGCGTTTCTACCCAGATCTGGTCTACCCAGATCTGGTCAGTGACACGTCATCAGTATGGGATTTCTGCACTCGTTTCTCAGATGTCAGTGGTAGTGTCACCAAATGTCAGCTGTTTTCTCAGGCTAACAAAATTAATGTTTACAAAAAAATGATACTCAACAGAAAACTAAAGGTAAAAAAGACAACCAAATGTTGCCATTAGTTTTACTGGGCTTTGTGTGGAAAGCCAGCGAGTTAAAGACCTTAACAATAATTAAGGAAAGAAGAACATGAAAAATGTGTACAAATGTATTTCTTTTAGTTGTTGATTACATTGTTCAATCCCCATTGGGACCATTAGATCCTTTTTTATAAACCACTCCTTGTGAACTTCACATCACCTGACACTGACCACTTCACTCGGGGCTGCTTTTTTTCCTTTTCTTATGTATGAGTTTTGTAGGTTTATCTACACATAATTTGTACTTGTTTTTTCATATCTCTTTTTTAAAATGATCAGACTGTTTAGTTTGTTAATTTTTTGTTCCGCATGTCTTTAATGTCAGCACTTATGATGTATCTTTAATCTAGCCTTTCTTAGTGCTCTGTATCTGTATTTGCGCATATTTTCCTTGTTTTTGCGGTAACTATCAGTGGTGTAATAAACTCGATTGCTGGTGGCTCCCTCTAAATCATTGTGTTGCTTTGTCCCTTCATACTTATAACAGAAATATTTTCTATTTGACTGAGCATTAGTGATATAGAGAATAGAAATATTATTAATTTCATTAGGTCTGCACTGCTTAAAGTTGTAGTAACAGTATTAATAATAGGAGACATCACTGCTACAAATGTTGTTTTTGTGTTCAAATTTGTAGCACGTTAAACAATAGAATCTTTTGTTTCAAGAACCTATACGCTTCTGGTTAGCACATATTATATCAATAGGTGACGTCAGCTTGAGTATCGCTTTTAACACTGATCACTAGAATGTCTGAGAACAATAAATAAATTGAAAATGTTGATAGTGAGGGGACAGGGAGATGTTGCTTTTGTTTTAAATTTTTTTTTTCCAATTGTGGCTTCATTAGAGCAGGCGCCCTTTTGAGTAAATTACTAATAAGGAATTATTTAATAATGAAGAAGTACGTGGAATAAATTGGGTTATTTACTAGATATGATTTAATTGACATTGACATGCTTTAAAATGAGTATATAAATAACAATGGAAGGTGTGTGTGGAGAAAAGGCCCAAAAAGCCTCCGATAGCCTGCTAAATTCTATATTACATACATTACCATAGTTTGTATTTTCTCAATAAACAATTTTAATTTTTTTAATAAGAGTCACTTAGAGCCTATTATTATATAAACACCAATGAAAGACCAGGTGAGCTTTTGTGCGAAAACTTGATATCTTCACATGTGAAAATATCACCGTTGCTATGGCTACATAATAAATCGCGCCTTTCACACCAAAAAAATATTAAAGTGAAATGGTTTGGTAGTTCATTGGTGTTTATATAATAAATAGAACATTACATGGCCGCTTGGAGATACGAAATTTCTCCTCTCATGTTGAAAAATATTGCGCGAACGAGTGAAATATTTTTCAACATTCAAAGAGAAATTTCGTATCTCCATGCAGCCATATAATATCCTCTATGTATTTAATGCATGCTAATATATTTCTCCAGTGTTTTGGGCACCACCCCTAAATAAGGAATTCCAAACTTTTTGACAGCCCCAGCGCTGATACACTTTAACTACAGTTTTCTTTTCTCTGAAGAAAGAATCATTCGAGCTTCATCAGATTCAGCTATGTCCATGGGTGTTTTACCATCACTGTTGACAAATCATGATGAGCACCTCCATCAAACAAAACCTTCAACATGTTAGTGAAAATGTGCATCCTTTCATTGCTGGGTTTTAAAGTAACAGCTAAGTGAAGAAGCGTATTTCCTTCGTCGTTGACAGCATTCACATCACATCCTGCCTCCAAAAGAAGCTTCAGTGCATCAAGTACTGGAAATAATGATGGAACATCACGCATTTTATAAAAGACAACAAAATGTAAGAGTGTATTTCCAAATCTGTCACGAGGATCTTGCCTACAAAGTTTTCTTAGCAACACTAATGCTTTTGATGTGTTGGTCTCCCCCAGAAATCTAAATTTGGAAATGAATGAGATAAGCTTCACTGAAAGATGAAACAGACCTTGCATAAGATCTGAGTCAACAAAATCTCTTTTTATCTTCCAATTAAAC